TAAAATCTTTATTTCGCCGCAAGCGAGAAAAAAGAGAGATAATCGCGCCGTATTAAATGTTTCCTTCACAATGGGGTTGAAGCTCCGCATGGAAAGTAAGAGAGGCAATGCGAGTTCCTACCTAAAATATTTTCCTTCTCTCTCGTGCGCTCTATTCTTTACAGTGATAATCGTGGTAGTATGAGAGCATCGGGAATACCATGGGCGAAAGAGGACAATGGCGAAAAAAAGGTTGGTGAAACCCTTAAATTTACACGCGTCGCAGGCTCGTTCTTTGCGATTCCTCCTGCACTCGCGAGCTCGTTAGAAATCCTTTGTAACAACGCTGGATCATCTTCATTCTCGAAACCATAACGTTTCTTTTCTTTTTCTTTTTTTTTTTTTACCAGCATTGGCCGATCATATGTTATTACGAGACACGACAATATGATACTCACGAAAAATCGAGAAGACGCCAAGATCCAATTAAGACATCAGAAGCATCGCCTTACCTGAAACAAGGAAAGAAATGATCATTATTTATTGTCGTAATTAAATAACGAAGAAGTGTCAGTCGTCTAAATATTACGAATATCGCAACGAATTATGCAATTTTACGTTATTTATATAACGTAAAATGTATTTATTCATTATTGATTTTGATACGACAGTTTATAAAACAGAAAGAAATAAGAGGAAGCACCTCGCGTTTTCGCAACGTGACTCGCACGGAATTGGACCAGGGGATCGCGAATCGAGTAATCCGAGACGTCGAATATATTTTCATATGGTGATATCTATCGTGACGAGCATGCCGTGCCCTAACGAGAACACGTGTGCGTTCACGCGTGATGGTACTAACCCGGCGATTGCGCTCGTTGGCCTTTTCATAGCGCGATGGCGTCCGTCGTCCTTTGACAATGGAATCGTTCGGAAAATATTTGCCGAAAGGCCGGAGAATAGAGTCGCGCAGTATCATCAATCGGTCATGTAATCCGCTGATAAAGAATACCGAATGCACATTGTGCGCATTGATCCACTCCACGTACTGCGTGTCGATTATCATTTGTAATCCGTTTAGCCGTTTAGACTGGTTAATAGTAGCGATCTCGTTGACGCGCAATGTTGTTATATTATATTATATTGTACTAATAATAACGCGGAACATACAGCGCGAGTTTATTGAATAAGTCAATTAATAACTAAGATTAATAACTAAGATGTCTGATATTTTACTGAGCGAAGATACATGCGATAATTTAACGTAATAATCAGTTGTAAAACGCTGTTAAAACGTTTTCTGTAACTAGTAACTTGGTGAAGGGAAATGTTGTAACAAAGTCATTGTTCGTCGCTTTCAATGATTTAATGACTGTAATTGGGAAAGAGAGGCAATAAGCTCTCTCTCTCTCTCTC